AATATAATAAATAAAACATAAATTTAAAATTGTGTTATAATACTATTTAATTCCTAAACATAAAAATATATGAAAGATTTATACAGTATACATTACTGTACTTACAGTATGATGTCTGAGAATGAATATATAATGAGCCAAGCTCATTCGTTATTCACTCGCTGATTCAAAACTGGTCTAAAATGAAGCCTATTTTTATTTCTTATATAATAGAGCAAACATTTTGTAGTATTTTTGTTAGTCTGTTTACTGTAGTAAAATTAATGTTTTGCTGCAAAATACAATATGCTACTTTTTTATATGAATAATTACAGTAAAATTGCTTTTACTAGTAATAATAATAAATATTAAACCTGCTGTTAATATTGTTTCAGATTAAAACTTATCGTACTGTATTATTAAAATATGCTATCACCATCTAAAAACTGATGGGAATATTTTACTGGTTTTTAAAAATAAAATGAGTATAAAGTTTGTATTAAGCAGAAGCGTTAATAGTTTATTAAAACAATTTTTGTTTTAACATATAATACTGATAAAATTAATTCATAATATAATATAACCTTTGATGAATCCATCAACACATTAATATTTATACTTAACTTAGTACGTTTAATAGTACAACACTTTATATACACAACTATAGATTTAATTACGGAAATTACGGAAATATTTAAAAATTATATAAGACTAATGCTATAAAAACTGTTTGTTTGTGGAAAAATGGAAGCAATGTGAATTTTTAAAATGAGCTAGAAAAATAAAAGCTTGAATAAAAAATTACAGTAATAAGAATTTTCCATAAGTTTATATAAAAAGTTAATTCTTTCTATTTTTAAAAAATAAAGAACTAATACAAATAATTATAGCATTAATTATTACAAATAGTTATAAAATTTAAATCTAGTTTATTTAACTTATAAAATTTAAGACTAAATATGTACGAATTGGCTAAAGTGTAATAAAATCCTCTAATAATTTTCAAATGCTTTTGCAATTAAAAAAGAAAATATAAAAGCCATAGAATAAGGAATAGCCTCTTAGGAAGTCATACAGTATTTATGCTAAATAAAGATCTGTTTGTTTATTTTAAACAATTTTCCTCACATTTGCTGCAAACCCAGAGTTAAGATACCATATCTTACAAGACTTACATCTGTCTAACTCTCTCTTGTGCTCTATTTTTGAAGGCTTTTAGTTAGGGTTAGTTAGGGTGTGGTGTTTCGGTCGACACTAACATTCTCATCAATTCTACCGATATTTCGATACAAATTTCATATTGTTCATTTTTATCATTTCAATATAGTTACCAACTATACTGGAAAAATGAATAAAAATATCATTTTCTTTATTTTAATGATATTTATTGTCACAAACATTAATGCAAAAAAGGTATGATTTTTAATTAGTAAGAACATAATTAAACACTAAATTAATTCTCTTTTAATTCAATTATAGCACAGAAAACAACCTAAAAGTCAAACAACTGAAGAAACAAATGCCGTTTTAGTCAGTACTGAAACAGCTAATGAAGTCAAACAAGGTATGGATTGTTCAAAATATTATTTACTATACTGTATTATCCAGGGCTTACTAGTTAGTATAACTAACATTACTGTAATAAGCGCTGTATGCTTTAATTTATAATTTCGAAAGCAGTTTTAATAACAAGCTCTTTATTGAATAAGATTCATTTGTATGATCTAATCGCTTGATTCCAGATTTTTATTTATGGATAATAAATGTTATTTGCAGATATTTATCCTCATTAATACATTTTAATATTTTAAAATCTTATAGAACTAAGCTTATACCTATAGTGTCATAAAATTTATTCTTAAACAAGTTGTAACATCCTATAAATCAAAAATTCAATTAATAATTTTTCAATAGTCAAATGAGTTTTACTAAGATTATTTGTTTTGTTAATTAGAATTTACATATTATATTTGAATTTGCATTCAGATCCATGTATTAAAATGAAATGCGGGTCCGGAAAGGAATGTATCATCGAAACGGAGACAGGAGCTGCTAAATGCCAATGCATCAGGTACAATCATATTACATACAGAAAACATTCCAATAATTTTTTGGAGAGAGAGAGAGAGAGAGAGAGAGAGAGAGANGCTGGTGAACGATTAGTTTTATAGTTCTCTAAGTAAAGTACTTATATTATATTTCATTTATCATTCTTATAGTAATCTTAACGAATATAAATTTATAATACGTGTAATGACAGGTCAATCCAGTGATTGTACTGAAGAGCACCGACACATGCATATTGATTACTACGGCGAATGTCAACAACTGCCTGAATGCAGAAAAGAAGTACTCGAAGATTTCCCGCGAAGAATGAGGGAATGGTTGGACCACATCATAAGGTTTGGTTCACTATTAAACTACAAACAATATGTATTTTAAAAAGAAATGAATTGTATTTTGTTAGCAAAAAAATTCACACCAATAAAGATGAAGATTCCGATCACTTGACTCGCAAATGGATCGATGCTATCATTTGGAAGTTCTGTGACCTCGACAAACAACCACACGATAGGTAGTGTATTACAGAATAATATTGATATTTATCTTTCTTATATCAAAATGATCATGCTATTCTATTCAAATCAAGTGAATTTTAAAAAATTGTATTTATTTGAATGATCGGATATAGACACGTTTCACGCCATGAGTTATTCCCACTTCGGGCTCCACTTCTGTCGATGGAGAGCTGTATTTCAGACTTTCTGAATAACTGCGATGAGAACGATGACCACAAGATTACTTTAGTCGAGTGGGGAAAGTGTTTGGGAGCCTCTGATGGTAATCAACAACTTATTAATTATGTCTTCAATCCTTAATTTATTTCGATATTTTCAGCCGAAATGGAAGATAAATGCAATCAATTCAAAGCAACACAAGAAGCAAATTAACGATTTGGTTGTTTATCCTTACAATTCATAATTCTATACAATTTGATGTCTAATACTCTTTCATACTTTGAATGAACTTTTTGCCAAATTTTCAAATTAATAAGTTCTTCATTTTTGCTTTAATTCTTATTTAATATTTTCTATTATTAGTTCATTAATAAATGTTTGGAATTCTTAAACAAATTCTATAACTTCTAAAGCAAATGAAAGTTAATAAATCATATAAATTTAATAATAAACTATTATAATTAGTAAATATAAAGTTAAGATATGAAATAATATGCATACAATTAATTAAATTAAAAAATATATGATTTATTAGAATTCACAGCTAATTAAATATCCTGGTCAAATTACAAGCATTTTATTGTTTGATTTGCATTTATTTTCTGACAAAAAATGGCAATTCGTTTAACTCTGCTTTAAAGTCAACGAGAGTTGTGGGTCCGGTGTGAAGGACTCCCCTGTGGTCTTGCCATTGACCCGAAGGTAAATATATATTCCTTTTGCGCGCATTTTCTGTCACAACCGGCGCTACGAGTAGATCATTGCCCACGAGATACTGGTCTTCAATTGAGAAGGTATTCACATCGTTGGGTGCGATCCACCAAATGGGTCTCATTATAGGCTCTCCTGTTTTGACCGCATTTTTGGCCAACTCTATAATTACTGGAGAGTATTGTTCGTGAAGTTTAAGCATTGATTTACTTATATCTATCACTTCCTGTGAGGCCTCTTTGTAATCCCAGGGAGTGATCGAGAATTGGAGGGTTGGCATCAAAGTGTTCACTTGAAGCCATCGGATATATAAGTCTTTAGATGGGAAGTTCCCGTAAGCATTGCCACCGATCATATCCGGCAAAACAAAACTATAGCCACCGATAGACATAATTAGCGCCGTTGGGATTAACGTTTGGAGGCCTCCATTATAACCCCATTCAGAGTTCTTATCCAACATTCGCACAAATATTGGCAAATCTTGTGTTTTATAACCGACTCTAGTTTCGATCAAATTCCCTAATTTGATAATTAAAATATTTTATAAACACAATTTCAATTGAGTTGTCAATATATTCACATAAATTATGAAAAACTCAACTAATTTCTATACAAACCTAATTGGGAAACAGTTTGTGCATATAATTGAGTCAAAGAGACGGGTGTTTGTTCAATAGAGAGATCGCTGAGTTTGAAGTCCCGGCTCACCCAACCTAACTCTCCCGCATCGAATTTGAACGAATCAATTCCCGTTGTGTTTTGAATGTGTTTTAATCGCGAAACAAACCATTCCTGGGCTTTCTTGTTAGTAAAGTCAACGTGAGCTCCATTTCCATTCCACCAGCCGTTGACAGCGGTTGAACCGTTTTGGGCTTTTATAAAGTATTGGCTCTCTTTGGCAAACACTTCACTATCAGTGTTCACAAATGGATAGACCCATAGAGTCACTCGATATCCCATTTCTTTGAGTTTTGTAACCATTTCGCGAGGATTTGGAAACTTTTTTAAATCAAAAGAAAAGTCTCCATACTTTGCTTCCCATTTGTCATCGATTTCTATTTGACTGTTTGAAAAGCCATGAGATTTGATCTCTTCAGCAAAACCAATGACTTTTTGTTGGGATATATCGGCGTGATATTTAGCCCACGTTGACCTACACGTGCATATATTTTCGTTAAATTATATATCAATTATTTATTCTAGGCAATTCACTGAAATGTATATTTAGCATATTCTGTAATTATGAAAATCTTTTAGTACAGTATTTATAGGACTAATTGAAGTTTCATTTTAACTTTCCTATAGTATACATTGTAAAGTTTTATCAATACTTATCATTCACTAATCATTTATGTGAGANTCAGGCAGTTGTTGACATTCGCCGTAGTAATCAATATGCATGTGTCGGTGCTCTTCAGTACAATCACTGGATTGACCTGTCATTACACGTATTATAAATTTATATTCGTTAAGATTACTATAAGAATAATAAATGAAATATAATATAAGTACTTTACTTAGAGAACTATAAAACTAATTCGTTCACCAGCTCTACAAATCAATTTGACTAATGTATAACTAAATAAATACTAAACATTGCTGTACCTCTTATGATAATAATTAGTACAAATGTTAACTACTCATTTTAAATTGACGAGATATTACGGTACATTTCAACTGAAAGCTAATTCAATGTAAAACAAATCTTTAGGAACATACTGTAATATATGGTATATTATGCGTGAAACTTGTAAAGTATTAGGAAACTTAAAGAAACTTGTATTGTGCTATTAATATATTTAATTTATTTCTAATAATTAAGGAATACTATAATTTGTCAATAAAAAGTACAATACCTTCGAGACAAGTGCACCGGTGTTTGAACAGATGACAGTCTGACTGCCAGGTTGTGTTGTGGTTGGAACAGACACGCCGACGAACATCCGTATTATCAGCACAGGCGCTGTCATATAATTATTCATTATTTACATTATACTGTATTTATATAAACACTCCTAATATATAATGAAGAACTACGGTATACTTGAATAAAAGCCAAGTTTTTTACGATAATACTGTACCGTATTTGTAATATTTGGTATAGAATTCTATAAACAGTTGTTTGTAAATCAAAAACCACTGTAAGATACGGAAATACAGAATTCTCTCTCTCTCTCTCTCTCTCCAAAAAATTATTGGAATGTTTTCTGTATGTAATATGATTGTACCTGATGCATTGGCATTTAGCAGCTCCTGTCTCCGTTTCGATGATACATTCCTTTCCGGACCCGCATTTCATTTTAATACATGGATCTGAATGCAAATT